ATTGCGCACGACTGCGCGAGTAGATAAAAATAATAATTTATTATTTTATTCTAGAAAATCAGTACCAATTATATAGTTAATATATAAACCCCTGATTCATGTCACGGGAAAAATTTATCAGTCATATAATCCTAATATGAAGCAGTTTTAACAATTTTAAACCATAAAACGTTAAATTTCTTTTACATTTTAAATTTGAGAATTGCTGAAAAGACGAAAGAAAACATCCGTGAAAGTTCAGATGATACAGCTTAGACTTTGAAATTAAAAAAAAAAAAAGAAACGAAACGCGCGTAACATTGGGTGCATCCAGAAGCACGACCGCTCATTGAGTGCTCAGTAAGCTCTTGTACCCGTTTGGTTTATATTTTTAGATCTAATGGAATATGCCAATTAGATAAAAAAGCTCATTGAGCGCTTAGTGAGCGATCATGCTTCTGGATGCACCTATTATATCGTTCTATCGGTCATCATGAATTATTTTTACTGCAATAACATACAATCTCTCTTCCGCTTTTAATTAATGTGTTAAGATTAGGATACTCCTACATACTTTATATCTCGCAATATATATATATATATATATGTATATATACATATATATATATACACATATAATGTATGTATACACACACGTATTGTACATATGTATATGTATATATGTGTGTGTGTGTGTGTGTGTGTGTATGGTCGGGCGTGCGAGAGAACCCATTAAAAGTTAACTGCGACTATCAGCGTTATAATAAAATATCACAACTATATAGAACCATTGATACAGTTACGGTATCTTAACTTTCCACACAGCGTTTTATAGCGTCTCTACTTCTTTTTACTTAGGTAGTTTATCAGGTGTACGGTACATAGGTGTGTGTGTGTGTGTGTGTGTGGGGTTTGAACGTGTTTTTTTCTTATTTACAACTTATATATTCATTAAAATGACCATGAGTGCGTTACCATGACTCGGAGCACGCATTGACCGACGAGCGACTCCGAAAACTCAAACAACATATTGATACGATACAATACGAAATCAAGTCGACCTAAGTAAGTGGTCCGTGCACGTTTTGTACCCTTAAAATATGTCGATATGTCACCCACCTAAAATGTCACCTATATGTTCACCACTCTGTTCACGATTACGTGTTTCTTCCTTACACGTGAACACCCACGAGAAACGTTAATATAACTGCAATCGTTCGAATGTCCTTCTCTCGGTACTACTCCTCGAAATCTCTGTCAGTCAAGACCTGCTCATGAAAAAACGTAACTAAAATCATCATTGATCTTGTAGTATGCATGAACTTGTGTGAAGAGGATGACGAAAAATATAGGGGATGAAACTTATCGCTATCGCTTGGTATGACTACTTGTTTTACATACGTACACATGTTTATGTATGTGTACGCACGTTCGACGTTGGGAGATAAAAGCTAAAGACATGACTTGTGTTCTTTCCTCTTACTACTCACGTGGAGAACGATTATGGTAGTTATCTTTTCCCTTTTTTCCTTTTTTATAATGCAACGCGAGTATCTCTACTGTCATACGTGGAAGCATGTATGGTATGTATGTATGTATGTATGTATGTATGTATGTATATATGTATGTATGTATATGTACAATTGGGTGTGGACCGATCCGTTATGCCGAAACCGAGAGATGGATACCAATAGCAAACGGTTTTTACGATGATTGCGATGCTTTACTGATACGTCATAGCGTGCTCAGTCTATGTCGAAGAAAAAGAACGGACTTTCCTCTCTACTTGTTCCTTTTTTCCTCATTACAGTTAATTACTCAGTGTAAATACGATTATTTGTTAAACAGGCACATCGATTGGTTAAATATTTTTTTGTTTCCTCGTACAATGTGTACAAACGTATTAATAGCCGTATACGAAATCGCTCAATCTTAAGATAAAGAGAATAAACTGCGTAACTATACAAATAAAGAAAATTATGATAATGATAAAGAAGAAATAAAGAAATCTAGAGTTGCTTTTACCGAAGCAAGTTCGGCATCGTTAGATTACATCAATTCGTCTGATGCCTCTCGATATAAAGGCACTCGAGAGATTTGCGAGGCTATCATGGACCCGATAGCCGTAATGGCCCTGCTCTATAAGTTAAATATAGTTAAATTGCGGCTGTATATATCGTTTGTCGTTTACTTATTGTATCGCGTAAAGGGTTCTCTTCTCAATGATACCGGTAACATGTTTAAAACTCCGTTACACCTACACTACACTTGTATATCTTTATATATCTATAAATTCTATAATTTTCTCTTCTCTCTCTCTCTCTCTCTCTCTCTCTCTCTTTCTCTCTTTCGTATATACTTTCGCTCTCTTCCACTCTCACTCTACGTGTAAAATATCTCTAATTAAACTTGGACGTGATCATTCTAAACAACATACCGCAATGAATCCCATATACGCAAATATTACCGTTACAAACTTTCTATACATTTATATTAATAGAATTAGCGAAACAATGCCTATAAGCGTTATTTCATTAAATCACGAAATACATATATTAGCATTTGCGCACAATGACGCCGATACTAGAAGAACGACGTACGTACCATGCCTATGATATCGTCTAAGAGTGATAAATTAGAGTGAAAACCAGTGATGTAAGATGTTGACTGTAGTTCGGAAAATGCAACAAGGAAGAACATGATTAAACGAGAAAAACGTAATTGCGAATATCATTTTATGAAAAGTATCCATAAATAGAATTTTTTCTCCCCAAATATCATTACTATTATCATACATATATGATATATATATATATATATATATATATATATCATTACTATTATCATACATATATGATATATATATATATATATATATGCGGGAAAAAAATATGCGAATTTGTGATATCCGCAAGAAACTCTTTATCATAAAACCCAGTATGATATTTTATTGCTGTTTGTGTGTGGCATACATTTCTTTCATAGAATGCATTTTTTTTTCTCTTTCCCTCCCAACCATCAGGAAAAGATCACTATACTCTGTACTCTGAAAAGATAAACTGTCACTTTCTCATTCCTTCTCTTTTTTTTTCACTAATTTGTGCAATGTACTTGATTCATATATCTTCCTCTTGTCAAAATGCAAAGTGTTAATGGAAAAAGAAATATTCATGAAAGATCGTTAAACTTATATACAATTTATGAATCTTTCAAAATTGTGGTCACACATAATTTCGCATTTCAAACCACAAGCTTGAGGCATGCTGCCTGTAATATGCTATTTACACAATTCAAAACAAATATGTTAGACATAAGAGCAATATGATGATTGTAAGTAATGAGAATGCTAATGGAGATGATAACGATCACGACGACGATGAAAATGATAAGATGAATGTGAAGATGATATAAAGTAATAATCTAATAATAAATAATGAGACTGTTCCAAAAAAGGCACGTCAAAGCTTTTGTCGATTCAGATATAGTGCAATCACTTTAATAAATTGGTGACTCGATTCTAAATTCCTTGCTTATATCTGACAAATACTCCTACACCTACGACAACCCGAATAATCCTACTCGAAAAAGTTTGGAGAATATGCGATATAACATATAACTGAATAATGTACGTGTAGACGTATGTGTATGCGTGTATGTGTATGTGTTAATGTATACTTGAATAACATTTGAATAACGTTACAAACTACAAAGAATAATGTGGCTACCTCATTAGTTTTGAGTGCCCGTTATGAATAAAATATCGTAAAAGATTATAGAGCGCTACATCCCTTAGCGATATTCTTAATGTAATCGAAAAACTTCACGAGCAAGAACAAAAGGAACGCTACTACGGCAATTGGAAAAAAACCTAGTTCGCTAAAATAATTTTGTTAAGGAGCATTAAAAACAAGATACTCGCGCGCGATATGTCTTGCGACATATCACAAAGAAATGCAGACTCACTACGCAGTTAAATTAAATCGTTATTATAAATCGCATATGTTCGTTAATAACAGTTCCACGTGCATGTGGATCGGCACTGCCATTACGTGCATATCTTGTCTGTCATCGATATTAATGTTCCCAATCTATTTAAGTCACATATTAGTTTCATATATTTATATATATATGTATGTATATGTATGTACAATAGAGAAAGAAACTATACGTATGAGACTTAAGCAGATTGGAACAATTCGATAGAAAATTTTGGTCTGTACAATGTCCTTATAAACTCTACCGTTTCCGTAATAAAACTTCGCGTCTCTGGAAACTTACGAAATTTAAAGTATGCCGCATATGTCGAGATATATGTGTCTCTTGAAATTAAGAAAAAAAAAGAAAGAAAAAAAGTGTCAGAGATTTTATGAGAAATCAGGGTACCGATCATGTAACTTTTTCTAATAGATGAAAAATTTCTCCATTAACTTCAATGCTAAAAGTTTTCACTTTTTACATGTCTGCCTGAAGAAAAGTTAAATGATCGGTACCCTGCAATATAATTGTATATCAGAGCAAGATAATCTTTTTGCCTCTTGTTTCTTTCCTCTTATGAAATTGTTACGATAAGACGATGGAATTGTTTCGGACACATAAAGGACGTAACAAACATATTACAAAGAGATCTAGTTATATTGATCATGATCTTGTGTCTCACTTCTTATGAGAGCGATTGGAAGGGAGTGGTCGCTGCTTACATATAGGACGGATTGTCAAAATTTTTTGCTTGAATGTTTGAGCTTCTGCTCTTTGCTCTCTTCGGCAAACTTGTTTGATAGTGTATTTGTGCTACTGATCGTATTCGCAAATCGCAGCGGTTCGGAATTTCCCTACCCGCTCACTTACTGGCCAGGTGCACAAAAACAGGGAAAATCAACACAACACTTTTCTTTCTTTGTGCCATTTGATATCGATTACATGTTCGCTGATTGGCACGAGCGGCTCGTAAGTTCCCAGAAAATCATACAATTACTCATTATTTGTTCATACACAACTCTTATCCACGACTCGACGGTAATAATTTATTCGGTAAACCATAAACTGGAAGGTTGGTATTGGTGTTTGGCTGGCGAAAGCGGGGCCAATCCATAAACGGCTGTAGGCTGCATATGTGCAGGCAATGGATGTGCTGCGTGACTCGCCAGTAACGGTCTGGCTGAGCTGTGATGAGCTGGCGGTGGCAACGCTCGACTAGAATCATATAACGTTAATGGAGACGAGCTGTAAAAAACGGGATAACGCACATTAGAAAGTCTCCATTAAGCTCTAAAAAAAGAAAATTATAAGTTTTTCTCTTATAATATAGAATAATTACATTATAGATAGTCGGAGCCAAAAGCAAATACTTATATGAAGGAAAACTCGGGAGAAGAGTAGAAAACAATTAACTTTTAACAAAATTCTACATTTTAAATTCTCTATTAGCAGAATCTCGATGTTATTTGTCGTCAAATAAAAAATTCTCGATAAAATTCAAATAAAAACAAAATAAAACAAATTTTTTGCACTCATATACAAATTCTATTTCCTTACAATTTATAGCACATTACAATAAATATCCTTTATTGTATGTTTTAATAAAAAAATTTAGTGCATCTAACGTAACTTTCTGCTATACAAACAATCAGTGATTAAGGCCTAGTTTTAAAAATCAAGCTATTCAATGCATATCGGAAAGTATAACAAAATAATCATCGATTTCCTGCGGATCTGCGCTTCGACTTATATTGCATGCCATAAAACGTAACATTTATGAAAGAAAGAATAGCAAGTCTACTTTTGGGTCACAAATGACATAAATTTAACGCTAGAACAAAAGTGTAAAGATGGGTAAAACGCATGCATCGACTGGTTCTCTACCCACCCGGGTGTGAATCCCTGATACGTGGGTACTTGTTGCTGCTGAATAGCTGTTGCAGCCTGTGATGGTGCCGCGGTAACGTACACAGGAGGCGGCACCGCGTGGGCTCTCGAGCGCACGTGAGCGTATTCCTGATAGAGAGGTTGTCCCAAATGCTGGGCACTTCCTATCACAGGTCCTCCGGCGGGACTCCTACCACCGCCACTGCCACCGGGACTTAGATGAGCTGGATGCCCATGATGACTGTGGGTATGACCCGGATGAGCTGCCGTACCTACCACCTGGCTCTGCCTATAAAATACAAAACAAAATCCATTTTTTCGCCATACGCTCCATTTATTTACTGCAATACGTCCCTTTAAGGGTGAAATAGAAGATTTAACGAATGCGTTCTCAATTCTTAATAGATTCGCAAGCTCCTCTTCCAGTCTGCTCGACGTATAATCGAAAGAGGAAATAAACTCATTTATTTAAAAAACTGTTTTACTACGATTTCTGATAAAGACATATTCACATGCCATTTACTTGCCTAAAATCGTGTTAACTGTTACATTGGCTTGTTCGTTTCTTTAAAAAAAAAAAACTTACATGCACATAACACGGTGATCCTTTGATGAGAACATGCTCCGCCGCTATGTATCGTATCGTTTAAAAATCGTTTTAAAACTTATCTCATAATTATGGCATGTCTCGATTAAAGACGCTGGCACAATCATGCCGAGAAAGACGATCCTCACCTATATTGATGCACAGGATTGGCCACCACCCACTTCTGATGGTCTCTCGAGTGAGCAGCTGGTGGTTGAACGTATTCATGTTTGTACTCAGCTCGCTTCCCAGGCCAGGACACTCGTTTGTCCGTGCCGGTCGTGTACACAATATGCTGCTCTTGGAGGTGAGGATGCGCACTACTCGTGGTCACATACTGCAAGAAGGGGTCATGCATGTCATAGACGTCATCCTCTCTCTAAAAAACATTTACCAAACGAAATTACGAAAAAGATATTTTTAAAAAACTGCCGTTACACGCGGCCTTGTTACCCTTCTTCCTTCTCTCTATTCGCTCTCTTTGTCGGTCATTCTATAGAATACTAAGTGAACAAAATAGTTCAGTGATTTCACAAGAATTACAAATAAAAATGTATGAAGAAATTAGACGTGGTACTTGAAAATAGAAATCTTAGTTAACCTGATAGGTCGGTGGCTCTTTGCAAGCTGGCGCGTGACACGGATGTGGAGCAAGGTACTCGACACCGGGTTCCGGTTTCGTCGCGACGTTCACCATGTTACATTCAGACTGCACCTTCGCCAATAGCCGCTTCTTTTGTGATTGAGAAGAATATCCTGAGCTACTGTAACAAACATTGATAGCAACAGTTAATTAAAGAATTTAGCAATTATGTACACTTGATGAAAGAATCATTAAGAATAACAAACTAGTAAAAATAACAAAATTTAATTTTAAAAATTGAATGATTATTTTATGATAAATTCCTGTCGCAGATATCGATATCATCAGTGATCGAACACTCACCTGCTGACATGATGTTGTTGTTGCGGCTCGTGCTTAATTAACTGTGTGGTCTGCTGATGCTGCGAGTGTTGCGGCAAATATAAATGGGCATGCGTGCGACTTGGACTGGCTTCGCCGTCGCTATCACCAACAGTGACACAGCTAATGATATTCTTGCGATGCGTTCGATGTGACGACGAGCTGCTATGTGTTGTAATATGTCCACTCGCATGTTGCTGACTGCTCGTGTGTGTTGACTGTTGCATCGGCTGTATTACGCGAGGTGTTGATTGAGTGCTGCAAAATCAAGGAGAAGATACTTCTTTATTTAGAGTCATCGAGGCAATCATCGTCGCGTGCTTTAACCATTGACAAATTAATGCCGCATCCATGAAATATCGCATGCTAGATGATTTGCAACAATATTATTTATTATGTGTCATAGCTTTGTGTTAGTCGACAGTTGTTTCACACCAAGCTCCGCAACCGGATCCCTAAATAGCCCGTGTCTATTTCGTTATATAACCAAATAAATTGTATTATTCAAAACATACATTAATAGATAAAAATTTTATAGTTTATACTAAGGATATAATATAATTATGATTCACGAACATCTCTATAAGTTATAAAGTTATTTTTTCAAGCATAGTGTTTCCGAAGCATAGTGTTTATTAGGTAAAAATTAACTATAAATGACTTAATAGAGCAGGGTCGAAATGCAAACTAGCAAATTAATCCTATCTCTTGTGACACTCACAATCTGTATGTGTTAACTGCATATTCTTAATAAGATGTAATTAAATATTATTAACCACGTAACACCGCCATATTACATTAATATACCTTCGTATGATTTCTTCACGGACAGGACGTCCGTCGCCCGACAGGCGAGTTGCCAAACTTTGACAGGCGCTGCACTGACGGTCTCCACAGCTGTCAATAATATCCATGCATGATTGTACTACCAACTAGTAACTAATAGATGTATAACACGTGCTTAAATAAATATTTCTTTTACAAAAGATAATGCTAAAAAAAAAAAGATAATCTATTAATATTGGAAACATATATATACACAATATTCTCTTGATTTGCCTATTGGGAAGATTAATTTGTAAATTTAAATATAATTTCAATAAATATAAGTTTTGATAGACACATAAAAAAATACTCTTACATTAATTACATTTTATATATACACAAATAAACATAAGCATTATATGTGTATCTATATTATCTAAATCTCTGAACTCTACAAAATTATATCAATTTCAATCTCTACTGAAACTAAAGAGTTTAAAGTTTAAAATAAAAAATATATCCCTAAACTACAAAATTTTATCACATTTGATATATTAATTTATAATATATATACTGAGACGTAGCACTTGGTATAATACTCACCATTTTCCAGGTGCCTCATCTTCACTATCACTAATCGTGATAACAGAAACGGCTGGCGAAGGCGTGTCATCAATCGTGATGGTCTGTTGTCGTACGGATGCGACTGGCTGATGTTCCACGTTATGACTACTACTGTGTTTGCTACTGTGATGATGAGACTGCACTGGCTGTTCCTGCCAATGACTACTGGGTGAGTGTCGTCGCATACTACTCGGCGGTGTGCTCTCTTTGACCCGTTTCTTCACAGGACTCAGTTGTTGTGTCTCTTTCTTGTGTTCATGTCTATGCTGAGTCTGCTGAGGTACCGTCACATGATGCTGATGATGTTTGGTAACGGTGCGCTTGCCCCAGCTCTGCGACGGATGCTCGACAAGTGCACTAGCATTGTAAACTTCCGTAACAGGAAATACTGGCCGCTGATCCTTCCCCAAAACAAGGGAGATTAGTTAAAAACTGAGAATTTTCTAGTTTTATAACGTGTAAAAAATTAGGAAGAATGTTTTATTATTTAAAGGATGGAGTGACCATCCTTTAAGTGACTACCATGTGATGTAAAATATCACAAAAGAAAAAAGAAAAGCTACATTCAGATATTGATAAGCTTTAATCTTTCACTAAATATTACAAGTAATTTATTGACAAGTACTACCTGTAGAATAGCAGAACTATCGACAATAAGAGGCCTTCCCCAATCTCCAGTATCGCTGAGGAGTGGTTGTTGAATGTGCTGCGGTGGCAATTGCTGCCATGATGGTACGATCGCAGCCATCTGACGACTTCCACCAGGCCAAGATGTCTGCACAGCATTCTATGATGATCATAAATGTATATAAAAACATAACAAACCATTATACTGTCATTTGAAAGTAAATACTATTTTACTTACGGTAAGCAGCATTTGCCGACCAGTCTCGACCATAGATACGGGAACTGCAGCGTATTGTTGTTGGGCAGCTACAGCCGCCGCAGCCACGGCTTGCTGCGATATAATAGATGATTGTATCTGCAAAGGTGCTTGTTGCGCTTGCGGTGGCTGTAAAATAAATCGTTATTAATGACTAATCGTTCCAATGAATTTATTGCTCATATAACTGTGGTAATTATTCTTACTTGAGCAACAACTACGTGCTTTGCAGGACTTGGCATAGTTTGGTAGCCATGTGGTGGACACAATATGCCAGGTACCAATTGATGCGGAAAATCATGAACTCCACTTCGTCCACTGTTGGATCCACTAGACGAGCCACTATATTGTGTCGCTCGTCGACTGCTGTTACTATATATTTGGTACTGAAATTAGAAAATATAAATTATGTAAAACCAACAAGTTTTTACAAAATGCATGTACCTTAAAATACAAGAAATGCGAAAATAAAATATAGCTCCGCATAAAAGATTGACTCGTAGTCGGCAGATCTCGAGTTCGAACTAGCTTTCATTTCATGTACCTCGGTTTATAAGTTGGTTGATTATAGAGTTAATAGTTTCGAGTGAAAAATACGATATTGTAATACAAGATTGTAATCTATTTCGGAAGCAATAAAATAATACATACATAACAATAAGAAAAATAAAGCGTTATATAAACATACCAGATTGTCATATCCTGTTTGTGCGGTGCGATGCTCTCTGACTAATCGCTGCACTTGATTAGACAATTGGTTGTTGAAAGTGAGAGTCACCGCACTGCCGTTAGTAGTCGGTACAAAATTGGCTACTAAAGACGTTGGTGGAGGTGGCTGAGGCGCCGGCGGAGCCTGATGATGCGCAGGACTCGCAGTAAAATCTCCCGCGCGCCTGCAAACCTCCATCATCTGGACGGAAGCTTTGACGTTGTTACAATGCGCGTAATCGACTAGATGTGCCAGAGTAACAAACGCGTGGTTCAGTGCCTCGCCGGGTGTTATACGGCGCTCCTTTAACATAAATAATATTCGTATGAGAAAAACTCCGAGTGTACACGAAAAAAATCTTGTTCTTCATTAAATTAAAAGCATCAATTAGATATTACTACCTGGTCCATTGTAAGCATCCTCTTTAAGAGGTCAATGAATTCTCGCCTGTCCGCTTTCTCCGGCAAGAGTTGACCGCCGTCTAAGTCAGTCGGTACGTTAACCTGACCGATATCATCAAGGCAATTAAAAATATATTTTCTCGCTTCCTTGGATTTGATACCAGTCTCTGCCTCGTGTTCTTCCGGTGTTTTTAATCGCCAAAATGGATATGTACCTAAAAATACGTGTGGAATTTATAAGAAAAGCTCTCCCCCGTTGCCGGTATTTTGTATCAAGTTACGTACTGTCCATGTCCCGATAAAAGAATTTTGTTGTTTTGCTGGCGTTGTTTAGCATATGCTCCGTCGGTAGGCCTTGCGTTTGACTTATATATCGAATCTGATCGTACTCGGAACTACCCGGGTATAAAGGCCATCCTAGAAACAATTCTGCAACCACACAGCCGAGTGACCACATATCTATCGCTTCACAATACGGAAGTCCCAGTATGATCTCGGGTGCACGGTAGTATCGTGACTGCAGGTAAGTGTTACAGACGGCTTTAGATACATGCGAGGCCGATCCGAAATCGATGACTTTCACTCGATAGGGCTGACGCATTGGATCCACCAACATAATGTTCTCCGGTTTCAAATCGGCATGTATCAATCCTAATTGCTGCAAAGGTAAAGGCATATATGTGCACGTTAATCTTCAATGTCGATCCAAGTATGACGCAAACACAACTACGATGATACTGCACCTTCAATTTCAATAGTGCGGTCAACACTTGTTGAAGAATGGGCCTAATGTATTTGAGAGGTAGGGGTGAAAATTTATTCTGCTTCAAGAAATCGTAGAGGTTTTGCTCTAACATTTCGAATACCAAGCAGGTATGTGATTTGTGCTGAAAACACTCGTAGGCACGCACGAAATTGAACTCATCCGCATTTTCCTGACTAAGTCGAGACAGGATGGAGACCTGCAAAAATATTATTTAAGTATAATAAGTTGCCCAATATAATACAGGATATAATTCAGTTGATGTTTACAAATATATACTCTGCGTCTTATTCTTACTAATATTTATGCGTACCTCAATCTGACCTTGGCGCGCATACGATGGATGGTTCTTGAGAATTTTGATGGCTACTATGTCGCTTGTTCCTTTTTTCCAACATTTTACAACCTGCACAAATCAATTGTCAACAACCCATTCTCACCAGGAAGAGTGAACATAATCAATACAGTTTAAAATACAAGAAGGTTCTACGATATATTATACACTTTGTTCTTACCTGCCCGAAAGTACCTCTGCCGAGAAACTCGAGGACCTCATACTGATGGGTCATGGAATAAAGAACTTCATGCTGCACCAAATGATAATCCCCGTCGCCCTGGGGGTTACTGCTACCACCACCATTGGCCGCGTTGGCCACTTGTTTGCTATGCGCCGTCATGCTTGCCTGCTTGCTGTGCTGTTGCTGCTGTTGTTGCTGCAGCTGCTGTTGGGTATGATGCTGCGACACTACAGTACTGCCCACCACATTCGCGTTGGCGGAATGGACTGCCAGGCCGTCACCATTACCTTCCCTCGACCAAGTTTTTCTCTATAGAAGTATAATATACCTTATATAAAAATATACTTTTAACGTTAAGAGGTCGCCATCGAATTTTTCATACAAATTTTTTATCTGAAAAAGTTCAGATACCTTTTTCAAAAATTTTAGACTAAAATCTTAAAAATTTTATAACATTTCAAAAGTCACATATGTATATATATATATATACATAAATTCTAAACAAAGATGTATATAATACTTTCTCAGTATTTCGGAAATTTGTTTCAATTCATATGAAAAATTTGTTTCACTTTGTGTAAAAAAGATAGTGAAAAAAATTGTTCATCAGGGAATAGAATTTATGTATAAAGGTGCATAGCTCTCAACGGCACATAGCTCGCACATCCCTAGAAAACGCAAAGGTGCGAGCTGTTACCTGTGACGGGCAAACCTACAAGAGCCGAAGATTTTCCACATCGGCGTCGACGCGAAGAAGAGTTTCGATCGCGACCGATTGCATGATTCGCATTCGCGCGCCGTTGGAGATCAATTATCGTGTCTATAGAGCCAACGATATATATCTCGCTCACATTTCGTGCGTTTTATTATATTATATATATAAGCAACGGCATCATGAATCAAACGCCTGCACTCGTCGATCAGGCGAGAATCGAGGAAATGATCGTGCCTATTTCTTCCCTGATCGGCGAAATAACCGTCCCAAACAATCTATCTATTTCTTCTATCTAAACTTCTATATACCTATTTTTTCCCTGATCGGCAAAATAACCGTCCCAAAGAATCTACCGCCGCGCGTGGTCGCAGTTCCGCGAACCAGGCGGGATTACGCGGACGTCACGCGGACAATACGTGCGCGTCTCGCGATATCCGCGATATCTGCGCGATGGCCGATATGAAATATGTAATGGGAGCCTTGAAAGTATAATCGATAGTTAACTACGCTATACGGAAACGTTATCTACGCCGCCAACTATACGCTCGTGACACCCCGCAACGGTGTTCGCAACCGATAGCTGCAACCAAAACAGCTGCTCTGTGATTATGATCGAACCGGTGCGCGGTTCGGATGCACGTGCGTATGATCGTTAGTTGAGACCGGTCGAAGATCATTTCAGGCTGAAGAGGAACGTGAAGAGCGACCGAGCGAGAAGAAGGAATCTTTACGGTTTCGAGGAATCAGACTATCCATGCAGACGCTTTTCCTCGGGCATCCGTCAATGATACAGCCGCTTCCAGATGGCAACAAACTCATCTACCTGGTCCGCCTGGATACGTATTCTCTGTTCCAGCGCGATGTTCTAAGCAAAACCTCGTATCCAACGATAAATATTTTTTTTCTCTCTTATTCTTTCAAGATCGGAGTTTTTAAACAAAAATCTTATTTTTTAGAATTTCCGGAGTCACTGACAAATTAGATTTGGAGTCTCAGAATTAAAATTTCTAAATGATCTGATTATCGTGAGACTCGGTTTTAAGACATTCTTGATATCTCTGGGTTTCAAATGTAGCCTGAAAATATTGAATTTCAAAGCATAATAACCTTTGTGAAAGAAGATCTAGTGTCACAGGACTTATATAAGCAGAGTTTGAAAGTCAGTACCAACACTGTTTGCATAGTACTGATGAGCTTCAACTAAAGCAAAACTTGATGTTATTCTTTGCAATTAAAAATTCCTTAAAACCAAATTATATGATAATCAAATTATTTTTTTTTTAATTTTGTCCGTTTACGCACGCAATATTGAAACTATAGCATTTTGTATTTTTGACAATTCAGAATAAAGCTAAATTAACCCATAGAGCAAATTTCATAAAAATCGAGAACGAGCAGTTTAGTTTATAAAATAAAAGAGGATAATCCCAAATGTATGGAGTCGCTGGTTCACAAAAGATTAATAAAAACCCTTTTTTTTTTTAGAGCGATTCTTTTTATTCCATCAAACAGAGAAAGCTAGAATGTCAGGCAGGAGCACATTTGTAAAACTAGAAGTGACAAGCTGCAATTGGTCATCCAAAGGAAGATAAAAAGTAAAAGGAATCTCTGAGGGAATCTCTAATGAGAAGAAGAATAACATCTTGACTAAAAACCTTCGCCAATTTTAATGAAAGCACCCCGAGGTTTAATAAAAGCGTTCTAATCAGTTCAGAATTGCTGTTTCCAAGATTTTAATCGCCTTAACGATCGCAACCTTCATTACAAGACAACACATCAAAGAAGAAAAATAAATAAAGCGTCATTACAGAGTTAGCAGCCATGTTTCAGTCGAAGATTTTCAAATCAATCGGTGAAATGATTGTGTGTGTGTGTTGGTGTGTGTACAAAGCACCGCGAATGTCGAACTCGTTCGTAGTGGTATTCATAAAGTTAGTTTCCCGGTAATAGACGTCAGTTTCCCACGACGCGACGTTGCGCCGTACGGTTACAAATCGGAGAATTAACGAGCGTCAAGGAAATTGTGTGATACCTCCTCTGTCATTAGAAGCTCGTTACCTCTCGGACGTACGTGGCATTTTGCCGCAAACGCTAAATCAAACACGCGATGAGAATGCGCAGAAATCAATCGAGGACCGCTTGTCGATCATTTCGGAATACTACGGCATGCATGCCAAATAAATTCCGTTGCTGGCTGCTGTATGCTACTTAAATAGCCAACAACTCCAGATTAGCCGGATGATTTATGTCCATCTTCACCAACGTAAAAAAAGAAAAAGGAGCAGAGTAAATGAACCGAGATTCTAGTTTATCTATATTGGCAGAAACAGGTATACCTCGGCAATTCGAAGCTCGATGTACGCTCATTTCTATTAACGTAGAATAACTTCCTTTATAGAAATCCAATTTAATACTCAAAAAGTAGTTATAATTAATCGCTACTTTTCAATATAAAATTTATGTAATTTCAGTTTCTGAAATATAGTTGGTTTACTTTACTTTTTATCTTTTTCCAGTTTTAAGAATTACAGAAAAAGATGACAAATAAGATGAATTGAGATTGAAGTTAATCTACATTGGGGCAGAAACAAGTATTAGAACCTCGGCAATCTGAAGCTTGATGCACGCAAGTCTCAGGCCCATTTCTACCTATGTATTGTAGATTAATTCCTCGGAGCTGATGTGGATCTAATGGAGCCACTATGCAGTAATCGTTTAAATAAAGATCCTCATGGGTACAAATAATTCATTTGTTTCTGTACAGTAATGTTAAGATAAAAAATATATTAAATTTGAATTTACTATTAATTCTTTTACTTTATGTAATATCTGCAAATTTGAATTATTCTTGTTAAAATAGCATTCGTTCTTTTCATACGAGTCCCGTCATTTTTGTTCGTTGAAATTAATTAGCGCTATTCAATCGACATATATTAAATGCAATGAGAAAAATGTCGTAATATGTTGCGACGAGTTTTTAATTTACTCTTTGTTCTGTTCTAATATTCTTAAAATTGGAAAAAAATAAAAAGTCAATCAAACCAAGATTAAAATTAATCTACGTGCGCGCGCGCGGCTGGGTGTGTGTGTGCATATTAATGTTGCAACAGGACGACAAGAATCGCGCGACGTAACAACGCGGAGCGGCGCAACGATGTCACGAGACATTTCGTATAATCATATACGGCGGAATGAGAATGTTTAGGAGACATTCGTATCGCGAGCGCAATGAATCAGCGAAAACATCGTGACATGTAGCTACGAATCGTGCGATATCACCGAATCGACAACGAGTCGCAACTGCGACGCGAAACTTTACTCGAACAAATAAGAATGACGAGCGCGAGAGGAAACGTACCGAGGATGATGTCGTGTCAGACCGAGGCATTAGAGCGATTCTATAAGCGTTAAGCTTTAGTCGAGATCGTGCCACGCACACCAGAAACAGATTCACGTCGAAAGCTTTGCTCCGAGAAGAGAGGTCTCGGAGTCTCGGGATTAGCCTCGTCGCCGATTAATCGCAGGGTGATTCTATCGAACGATCGTTCAGACGCGACTGTTCAGAGGCAGCCGAGAGATCGGTAAGTAAAATGCAACGGATAAGCAGTGAAACGACGAACGGACAGCATCTTCTTGCTGTACAATCTGCAGATCGAGCCTTTCCCTTTCGTCGCGGCTTGCGGCAAGAGGCATCAGTTGCGAAGCGAGAAGTATCACGACTTCGTTGCCAAACGCGCGGTCTTGGCTAAAACGACCTAGCTCTCCGGTCTGCGCCGTATGCCAATAAGCGGTAAGCGGTCATTAGGTTTTATTCGCCGGAGCGCTAAACACGGCGACACGTACATGCAAGAACCGCGCGCGATGGAAAGTTTCTCCCTCTACCTGCCCACCATTAAGGAGAATACAGAAAACTAACGACGAAACATTACCGTAGTTATTCTCATTCTCGTAACAGCACACGTATGCGCGTGCATAACAACCGACCCGAGAGGATACGACAACAAGCTGCCGCGAAACTCGAAACCGCCAAACAAATGACATTGAGACATTGCGGATTGTTTGCTCATTGTGCAGATTACGCGCTGTACTGGAAAAAAAAAAAAGAAAACAAAAGCTGCGCGTTTACAGCGAGACAGACGTTAACACTTTAAATGTATAGCCAATTGGATATATTATATATTTAGGCGTAGATTCAAGGCATCGCACGTATCGATTTGAAATATTCACAATATTTCGTAAATATTAAAAAAAAAAAACATGAAATTGTAGCATATACCAATATTATTAGGTTATAAGATAGTTATAAAATAACTGTGTAGGGTCGGGAATCAATTAAAAAAACTTATGCGACAAAGTGTTAATAACAAACTACTACATTGAGAGAGAAAAAGAGAGAAGGAGAAAGGATACTCATATCCGTTTCTAGTCAGCGTATAGATAATCTCGATGTAATCTACTTTTTATTTTTCTGTAGTTCTAAAACAAGATAAAGAAAAAGAGCAAAGTAAATTGACATTAAAATTAATCTATGTTAATAAAAATGGACATCAATATATCATGCAAATGTCATTAAAAGTTCGTACAAAAAAATAATCAAACTTGAAATATAAGTTTCCTAATTTGAATTCTCTAATTTTGAACTTTAATGTCACAATCTTTTTTTTTTGCATGAGCAAAAGTTAGGTTTTTCTTCTAATTTTGATTATATTAGTTCTGTCTAGTAACTAAGAACTACTTAGAATCCCAATCTAGATGTCTAATTGCATTCATTGGAATTCTAATTGAAAATGGACAAAAATTCAGAATTTTCTTTAATTTAACTCTATTATAATTCTAGTTAAAATAATCAGAATTCTGATTGATATGATCAGAATCTTCCGCTTCGACCGGAATATTTTCTTAATGTAACTCTGAATTTTTTCTCGACTTTTTTTGGTAGTCTCTAAGGTAAAACAATAAAAAAAACTTGGATAAAGAAAGACCTGGATTGCAGACGAAGGGAATAAAAATATAATTGCAGACAGAGGGTTAAGTATAGTGGACGAGACACAAGAAGTCGACAGATTTAGCGCGTTGGATACGTAGACGCGCGGGGAACGCGAGAGGGGGGGGGGGGGGGGGGG